AGGAAGGAAGGAAGGAAGGAAGGAAGGAAGGAAGGAAGGAATAGCTACCGCCCTTAGACTTATATCCCGCTTCACAGTGTTTGACAGCCCCTCTCTAAGTGGTTTACAGAGTCAGCCTCTTGCCCCCAACAGTCTGGGTCCTCATTTTACCGACCTCGGAAGGACGGAAGGCTGAGTCCACCTTGAGCCAGTCGGTCAGGATCGAACTGTTGGCAGTGGGCAGAGTTAGCCTGCAATACTGCATTCTAACCACTGGGAGAGAGGGAAGGAGGAAGGGAAAGAGGAAGGAAGGAAACATGAAAGGGGAGGAGGAAGGAAGGAAGATAAGGAAGGAATAGCAATAGGACTTAGAGTTCTATACCGCTTCGCAGTGCTTTTACAGCCCTCTCTAAGCAGTTTGCAGAGTCAACCTATTGCCCCCAACAATCTGGGTCCTCATTTTACCCACCTCAGAAGGACGGAAGGCTGAGTCAACCTTGAGCCTGGTGAGATTCGAACTGCCAAATTGCAGGCAGTTGGCAGTCAGCAGAAGTAGCCTGCAGTACTGCACTCTAACCACTGCGCCACCGTGGCTCATCAATACACCAACAATTTTATATCTATGTATGTATGTATTCCTGATGGGTTTTGTGGTTTATTTTTCTGCCCTCCAACAGGATCCAGCAGCTGCCTCCATCTCGGACAGAGACTGTGATCCCAGAGAGGGCGAGACCGTAGCCATGAATTACAAACCGTCTCCCCTACAAGTGAAACTAGGTAAGTCCTGGCCAAAGAACCGGCCGAGAGGTTTGCAATGTTTCCTTTAGCTCTTTGGGTTAATATTCTCTGTACGCATAGACACCTCTCCCTGAGCCATTCCGTCCATTCCGGACATATCGACCGACAAGCAGCCTACGAACCCCTTGAGAATGCAGATCAACCCCACAACCAGCAGCACCGACCCCCAACCAAACTATGAACCACCACCCCCTCCCTCAACCAGCATTTCAACTCCCAGGTACCCTCACCTGACGCGACCTCCTCATCACAAGACCCTCACCTGCAGGCTGGATTTGATTTAAATCAACTGGGATTTAAATCACGATTTTAAATCCTGATTGAAATCACCAGGGAAAAGGCTTGATTGCAATCATAATTTCTGAAGAGCAACTGTCATCTCTGTGACCTGCTGTTCACTCGCCAACCATCCCAATTATTGCAGAATATACGGCTTCATGCTACGTAACCGGTGTGGGCTGCTACGGGTTTTGCGGGGGTTTGGGCGATCCTCTAGCTAAGATTCTGGTCAGTTTGGCGATCTGGGAAATCCCACTCCTGGCTGGCCCCGCCCACCCCGCCCCTCCCAGGTGTCCACGCGGCCCGTTTGGTTCTCCGGCAGCCTGTGTCAGCTCTTGAGATTCAGCTGCCAAGTATGAAAAGGCGGGGTGGAAGAGTTGGAAAGTTCAAGGTTATTCCGTATGTCGCATTAAGAAATTCCAGTTGCAGTTAATTGGTTCTCGTGATTAATGAAGTGGAGAAGGGGGAAGAGAGAAGGTGGATTTTGTGTAACGTGCGAAAATGGCTTTCACTTTTGGAAATGCCTTAGAATGACCAGAGCTGTTCCTAATAAATCAGTTGGAGATTATATTGTCTCGGAGTGACTGATTACCGTGGATAATTTCTGGATGCCTAACAACCTGTGGAGAAGGAAGAGTAAGTGGGCAGTGGGGAAGAAAGGGGACCAGTCAGGGAGTCTGGAGAGGACTCGAGCGAGGGTCCTGCATCCAGTGCAGAGATGGGGCCAGGACCATCTGGGAGAGGGGTGCTGCCACCGGAGCCTCCGAAATCTGGCAGCAGCGAGGAAGAGGAACAAGGGGAGCCTGTTCCCAGTGCACATGTGCACAGAGCTGTTAGAAGGCGAGAGCAGCTGAAACAAAAGGGGCAACTCGGGAGTAAGGCTGGGAGCTGATTGCCCCCCTCCCATAAGGGATAAAGGACAGGCAAAGGTGACGAAACCTTTGCAGGAAGCAAAGTCGTTCATTCAATTCAGATTCATTCTTGAAGCTCTTTGTCCTTTGGTTGGGTTTTTTCCTAGTTCACTGGACACTTCTGTTCTTGGCAGCACTTCACAGGAAAGAAAAGTGGGTGCTGATCTCGAAGTACTGTTTGAGATTCGTTTCCGGCTGGGAATGAAAATAATTCCCAGCATTGCAACAAAACAAGACTTGTTTTTAAGATAGCCTTGTGCATAATTACGGTCTCAGATGCCTTGGTCAGAACAAGAGCCTCTGGAGCTTGGGAAGCTGTTTTCACCTTCCGGGAGACTCGAGAAAATCCTCCAGAGCCCAGGGAGGGTGAAAACGGCCCCACCGCCATGGTGCAGGAGGCTGACTAGGCCACGCCCACCCAGCAACCGGGCAGAGAACTGGTTGCTAAAAATTTTGAAGCCCACCCCTGTACATAACTACGCCCCATTCATGCTGAATAAACTAAATTATTTATGTATCTTAAATAGAAAACTCTCTTTAGTTAGATGTTTACTCCAAAAGCATTTTATTAAAATAAATTTGATAAAAATTTTAAAAAATCCCAATTTATTTATTTTTTAAATCTGATTTAAAAAAAAACATTGATTTTTATCCACCCTGAACACCTGACATGACCTTCCCCATCACAAGAACTACTGACACCAACATCCCCTGAAGAGGCTACCTAGCCTGGTAACGAAAAGTTCTTTTGGAGAATGTCATCCATGTTAGGGAGGAACCTGGGCCAGTCCTGGAGGCTGAGGAAGGCTCTGCATCAGAGGCGGAGATGGGGCCAGGGCAGGCTGGCAGTCATCAGCTGCCTTCGGGCTCAGCAGTGAGGAGGAGGAGCAGCTGGAGCCGGTTCCCAGCCTGCGCATGCGCAGAGCTGTCAAAAGAAAAGAACAGTTAGGAACTAAAGGTTGATGTTGGAGTAAAGCTACAGGTGGATGGTGAATGGCCCCTCCCATAGGGATTAAAAGAGAAGCAAAAGGGGAGGGGCTTTTGCAGGAAACAATTTGTTCGTTCGTTGCAGCAGTGTGAAGCTCTGTCTGTGCATCTCAGAGACTCGTGCCGAGTCCTTCCTTGTCAGCACTGAGTTTGGAAGTAGTTATTTGGCAGCTCTCCAGGCTAGATCAGGGCTGGGCTCCGAATTACACCCATGAAAGACTGTTTGCCAGGCCTTTGGCTGAAGGTGAATGCAAGAAATTCACCTTCGTTGAATCAAAGGGGTTTTGCCCGGACAAAGAGCCTGCTTAGGGCTTTGGGGGGAAGCCTAAGACGGAACAATGTTCTTGGTTTATGACCGAACTATGAGTATTTTCTTTCAAATGGGTAATTTTTTTTTGCATTCAAGCCACGTTCCTTCAGAAAGCCATTCATTCTGCTCCTTTTTACACACTCACTTCGAACACCGCACCTCCGCTGCAGTCAACTTAACTTCTTATATTTTTTACATTTGCGTTTTACATTTCCATTTCCATATATCAAAAGGGCAGAAGCTCTTATGCATAGCTATTTGCGCTTCCATCAACAAGCATTAATTCCTTGTAATAAATCTCATGTAACACCCATTACCTCTCTTACCATCCTTTGGGCCTCTTCACGTTTCTCCACCTGTTTACCAAGGTGCACGAAATCATCCCTTTGGCTGTAATGTTTTGTCACTTATGTCAAATGCGCATCCTTTCTCTTCGTTTACCCTGTCGAACACGCAGCCTTGGTCTCCGATATATTCATTTTTAAGTCCAGGCCTCTCATTTGCATTACGGCCAAATACAGCTGCCAAAAAGGCCAACACAATCCTGGGCTGCATCAACAGAGGGATGAAGTGTTAATACCACTTTATAAGGCTTTGGTAGGGCCACACTTGGAATAATGGATCCAGTTTGGGTTGCTACGATTGTAAAAAAAAAATAAATGTTGAGATTCTGGAAAGAGCGCAGAGAAGAGCAACGAAGAGGATTAGGGGACTGGAGGCTAAAATATGTAAAGAACGGCTGCTGGAATTGGGTATGTCTATTTGATGAAAAGAAGGATTAAGGGGGAATGTGATAGCAGTCTTCCAATATTTGAGGGGCTGCCCCAAAGAAGAGGGGCTCAAATTATTCTCCAAAGCCCCAGAAGAGGCAGGATAAGAAGCAACGAATGGGTGGAAACTCATCAAGGAGAGAAGCAACTTAGAACTAAGGAAGAATTTCCTGACAGTGAGAGGAATTAAACCAGTGGAACAATTTGCCTCCAGAAGTTGTGGATGCTCCAACACGGGAAGTTTTTAAGAAGAGATTGGACAACCATTTGTCTGAAGTGGTATCGGGTTTCCTACCTAAGCAGGGGGTTGGACTAGAAGACCTCCAAGGTCCCTTCCAACTCTGTTATTCTATTCCATATTATGCAATTTGCTTAACATTTGCTGAAAACCATTCGGGTTCTTTAGCTGACATCTAAAATGTTATCAGCTGCATACAAATATATATATATATATGTGTCTGTATTGATGTTCCCAAGCAACACTACAAAATCCCACTGCTTAATATGTAAAATGCCAAATTGGGTAGCCTCCAGAAGTTGTGGGCGCTCCAACAACTGGAGGTTTTTAAGAAGAGACCGGCCAATCATTTGTACAGAATGGTTGAGGGCCTCCTGCTTAAGCAGAGGGTTGGAATAGAGGACCTCACCGGTCCCTTCCAGCTCTGTTTTTCTGTTATATGTTGTGGTGCGCCAGCGGCCTGCAGAGCTGGCAGCTGAGTCAGACTGTGGGGAGGAACATGGGCCAGTCCTGGAGTTTGGGGAGGGCTCAGACGAGGGATCTACGTCCAACACAGAGACGGGACCAGGGCCATCTGGGAGTTATGTGCCGACTCCGGAGCCTCCCGAATCTGACAGCAGCGAGGAAGAGGAGCAGTGGGAGCCTGTTCCCAGTGCGCGCTTGCACAGAGCTGCCAGAAGGCAAGAACAGTTAAGACAAAAGGGGCCACTCGGGAGTAAGGCTTGGAGGTGATTGGCCCCTCCCATGAGACATAAAGGAGAAGCAAAGGGACAGGAGCCTTTGCAGGAAGCAACTTTGTTCGTTCTGGTCGGTTTAAACTCTGGACTTTGTGCTCCGTTTGGCCTTGTACAGCTAATGGGCAATTTAGCCGTTGGCAGCATTTCAAGGGAGATGAAGGTGGGTGCTTATCAGCCTTATCCCGAAGGATTGTGGCAGAACTTCTGTTAGACTATTCACAAACTCTTTGGGACTCATTACAGGCTGGGAATACATATAATTCACAGCCGTTGAAATTTAAAAAGGGGGTGGGAACAGCATGTGATTGTTGCTGTCTCAGGAAGCCTTGGTCAGAACATATTTGACTAACGGGGAAACAAGAAAAAAATATAAGCCTTAGGACAGGATTAACCTTGGAAAATAAACAACAATTTAAATGGACTCGCTCCTTTGGAAAAGCAGCTTGGGGTTTCTGCAATCCTGACCTCTGAGTTGGTAGCCTAATTTTTGGGTTACTTCCCCGGGAACATTTGCAACAAACAGAATCCCTTGTAGGAATCCCCCCCAAGTCCAAAACCGATTGGAGCAACGCACGGCAGCATTTGAGATGATGAAAAAAACTGAGAGGTTTATCAAAGAAAGAACGTGTTGCAATAGGAAACTGGCAGAGGCTATAATTCTCTCAGAAAGACAGCCCAGTTTGTGTGTTGCAAGAAGATTAAAGACTCTCGGCCGTTGGCTACAAACCCGTATGAATAATTGAAACA